CGGTGTGGGGGGACGGGCCCGAGGGGGCGGGAGGCCGCGCCGGGTGTGGAGCCGCCCGCCGCGGGGCCGTCCGGGCTTGGCTTCATGAGGGCGGCCGCTGGTCGGGGATCTGCACTAGCATCTTGTTTTCTGGATCCCTACTGCGTTAAACATTCCCCCCCTCATTTTTTAATGACTGAAACCTTCAGAAACTTGGAGGTTTTCGTGTTTTGTTGCGACACTGCTACATAACTCGGTAGAGCGCTCCTGAGATGTGCACTACTGTAACGAGAATTTTACAAAACGTGTCTTTTTAAACTCCTGCAAACCTGTAGTTGACAGTTGGTTCTTCTTTAAACTAAACTTCTAATATTAAACTGAATTTTATACTGCATTTGTAAGAAAGAAGCAAGACAACTTCTGTGATTCGGTAGTTTTAAGAAAATATCTTTTTTTCAGCTGGGACTGCTGCAAACATTTATCAGTTCCTGAAAGAAAGCTGTAACTCATCTACAAATGCAGAAGTGAGCGCGTTCCCAGGTAAATGCAGTAATGTGCAGTAAGGTGAGACAAATGTTGTCAAGGCCTTGGCCTTAGGGACGTGTTACGATGTGGGTGAAACAAGTCAGAAGGTTAAGGAAACTCAATTTCTGCAGTATGACTAAACCTGCCGATGGGACTGCTCCTGCTGCTGCTGTTTCTCTGGAGAACTGATGTCCTGATAAACTGGGCACAAGAAAGGAAGGACAAGGGTTTTGAAAGACTGACAAATTCCAATCCATCTTAGCATGGTAGAGTAGGAAAGGGCTGTTTCTCATCCCCACGCATTCTCATGAATGCGCAGCTTGATATTTTCATTACTCCTCTGATGCCTTCCAATTTTTTCAGTGGAAGCAATATTCATCTGTTGGGTAGCAATTCAGAACCCTAATCCATGAATATTTATTAAATCCTTTTATCACCTTAAAATAAATTTCTGAAGATCTGCTGTAGTACTTTTAGTGGTTGGGTGTTCGGGGTTTTTTTTTTGTTTGTTAAAAAATGCTTTCTTGGTTCTGTACTTGGTTTGGATATCGTGTTGAGCTGTTAAGGCTCATCTTGTCACAGCTGTCATCTAATTCTTTCATCTAATCTAATCTTTGCATCATTTATGAGCAGTCCTGGCTAACCGGGGAGGTCCCAGCTGACTGGAGGTTGGCAAACCTGACACCCATCCACAAGAAGGGCCGGAACGAGGATCCAGGGAACTACAGGCCAGTCAGTCTGACCTCAGTGCCTGGGAAGGTCATGGAACAGATCATCCTCAGTGCCATTACACGGCACATGTAAGAGAACAGGGTGATCAGGCCCAGTCAGCGTGGGTTTGTGGAAGTCAGGTCATGCCTGACCAACCTGATCTCCTTCTATGACAAGGTGACCCACTTAGTGGATGAGGGAAAAGCTGTGGATGTTATCTACTTGCATTTTAGCAAAGCTTTTGACACTGTTCCCCACAGCATTCTCCTGGGGAAACTGGCTGCTCATGGCCTGGACAGGTATACTCTTCGCTGGGTGAAAAACTGGTTGGATGGCCGTGCCCAGAGAGTAGTGAATGGAGTTAAGTCCAGTTGGTGTCCGGTCACAAGTGGTGTCCCCCAGGGCTTGGTGCTGGGGCCAGTTCTCTTTAATAT